TCAGGAATTGTCTTGCATTTGCAACTTATTATATAAGAAATGTTTAAGGTTTAGGATTAACAAAGGAAATTATAAAATGTTACTGATTTCATAATATGAAGATGGATTGTGCATGCTATGTTGTTAGAGGATTCTAATTAAGTACCTATACAAATTGGAAAGAACATATATACACAAGAAATTTCTCAAATCTTATTGCCTAGTGTATGCTAAAGCTTCGGAGGACATTTAGAGTATTTTAAATTTAAACAAAAAGGAAAAAAATGTGTCTTTTCTTGAGATTACATCTCACTCTGATTTACTAACTCTTTTTAAATAAGTAGAAGTAAATATTTTAGGCTTGTCTCAAAAAATGTTGTGTCCACTTTGCTGGTGAAAAATGTATGGGATTTTTGATAGGATGGAGGCATTTTAAATGAAATGGTTATGAGTTGAGAACTCAATGATGATAGGAAATTTTAAAATCTGATACAAGGTTTTGACAATGCAATCTCAGTTCACTGAAATATTAATTTATATCAAGTGAGTCCTTAAAGAGTAAACATAAAAGGTTTTTTTAACCTGGGAGCAGGCAGAAACACCTCCAAAGGAAAAGTTGCTAATTAGCAAAAATGAAGGGGACAGTGAAGGGACAGCTTAGAGATTTGGGGGAAGGCATAAGCTACCTAAATCAAATCATCAGATTTTCCCCCCTTTGAATTACTGATTCCCAGATTAATTTATTAATGATAATTCCATTTGAAATTTCATAACCAGGTTGATCCAAGTAGATGAGGGACCTATTCAAAGATTGTTTTCTAAAAGAAGTAAAGTGTAATTGAGCAATTTCTTAAATATTTTTTTAATCAACAAAGACAGATAATCTAAAGAATCCAAACAGGAAACCATGCCAACTTTACAATTGCCCTGCCTCACAAAAGATTTGTCTGAACTATCTGGATAATTACTGTAATGGAACACTTCTTTGTCCAGAATAAGGACTCCAGGTAGAAGCATGAAAGTTGTACTCCCCTCCCACAAACAAGTTCTTGATTCAAGTCAGAGCACTTAACCACTTTCTACTTCACACCAGAGTGTTCCTTAAAAATGCTTCACTGAAAATTATTCTCTACTCACATCAAGTCATCAGCTTCCTTGGGATTATGTTAAATAGAATGTCAGATCACTCCAATGTTAATTAAGAATCTTTGGGAGTAATTAAAATCGGACTTGATTGTACCTGGATACTTATTCTTATATTTTACTAGAAAGAATCTGCTGTGCTAAGATATCCGTTGCATAAGAATTATTAGAGCATTTGTGCCTAACGGTACAACAAAAATATTTAACAGTGAAAAATATTCTCTAGAGATGTTCATCTTAATCAAAGAGGAGTTTACAGGAGTAGATTATGTATATCTAATCAATAATACATTGGAGTTCAAATTCAACGTCAGTAATATTCTGCATACGGGCTGATACTCAGGTTCACCCCTGCTGTTCAGGAAGTTTCGGATTGCCTGGTACAACTCAAAATTAATGTTGAAATTAAAATACAAGATGATAATAATGTTGGGGGAAATAGAAGGTAGCAGGAAAATAGGAAGACCAAATATGAGATGGATTGGCTCCATAAAAAGAAGCCATAGGCAGGACTCTACAGAAGCTGTGCAGGGATGTTGAAGACTGGACATTTCGGTCATCACTCATTCTTAGTGTCTCCAGGAGTTGAAGCTGACTTAACGGTACATAACACACACAAGAATCAATAAGAATTGTAGCTGAGACATTCTGGTTTAGTACATATGTTGAAAAATAAAAGACTTTTTATAAATCCTAATGGACAGGACAATATCAATGATAAAGTCACTCGATAGCATTTTCTAAATTCTGAATTAGGAAATCGTGGAAGTGCTTTGAAAGTATTTTCAAGTGATTTAATTTACATTATACTCATTTAACTGTGTTTCTTATGTGGTAATAATATATATATATATATATATATATATATATATATATATATATATTCTGTTTGTGAAACATTATAGTAAAATACTATGTCAACTAGTTATAATTATTTAGTCTTCCCCGTAGCCTCCATAGGTTATAAACCTACAGTGTACTAGTACAATTATCTCTAAGTTTAGGTCCAAGCTATATGGAGAGATATATTTCTTCTATTAATATAATCCCTTGTCTTGTTCAATTATATAATTTTTGCCGTTTGTTTCATCCTATTTATTATGTCTCAGCTGGGTATGGTACAGCAAGACCTAAAAGTAATTAAATTCTCTTAGCACACAACAGAAACGGATCATGATTTAGTCTAAAAATGCTGACTGATTGAAAGGGAACAGCAAAAAAAAAAAAAAAAAAAAAAAAAAAAAAAACAGAGTAGTTTGGTGAATTCGGAGGAAGTTCAGGCTATGTTTTTCTTCAAAGATCCAACAAGCATTTTTAGCACTATTCTCCACTGAAGACGAGAGAGAATATCAATTCTCTCCACCTTAGGAAGAGCACAGCCCTCCTCTTGGCTCTGGCAGGAGGCAGGGGTGCAGCTGTTGAGACCTGGGCTGGATGAGAGGAAGTGCAGTTGATGCAGAGGTAAATGGCAGCTGGGAAAGGAAGGATGCCTGGGGATGACCTTGTGCTCATCTCTTACACAGCCTGTCACATCTGAGTCTCTGGTGCAGAGGTGCTCTTCCCACAGCAAGGATGGGGAGCAGCACAATCTCCCGTTCGGGTGTGAAGGTGAACGGGGAGAAAAACACTGCAGAAAGTTGGGTCAGTGTATTGACTGGAGATCCGTGTGCTTTGCAGGTGACATTAAAGAGAGAAGGATTTGCACACAAAAAGAATTAAATTTTTAAAATAGTGGCAATGAGCTCTGCTTTTGGAAAGCTGAACTGCATGCAGAAAAGACCTCTCCCTCAATATGCAAGTCTTTCTGAGAATTCATTGTCATCTTTTTTCTTGTTTGTCTCACTCAGTCTTTCCTCTTCTCCCTCCCACCTGACAGCTACACCGGGTTTATCAGATCTAACGTGTTAGTGAGAGATCTGTCGTTGCATCTTTGTATTTCTGAAACCAATTTTATCAGTATTGTGTGAGGAGTCCAATTTTCCCAAAATTGACATTGAACTCAGTACTGAAGTTATTAAGGCTTGTTTCCATTCCAAATTCAGGAAATTCTTATCTTGAGGCATACAAAAAGTATTCTATACAAATATATATGTATACATACATATTGATATGCACTTGCCCATATATGTATGCACACATATATATGAAAAGGCATCTCACTGCTTTCATGATATTCTAAAACAGGCTCTTTTAAAATGTAGCTTCATAGGGAACCAGAAGCAAGGTCTGCATGATGAAATCTCTCTCGCTTAAAAAAAAAATACATGCTGCCATCTAAGCACTGAGCATTTTCTTGATTTTTTTACAGGTTATTTCATGCTGAAATCATGCCTATTTGCATGGATAGCCATTCTTTAAAACTAGCCACAGATGCAGTCCTGGGGAGCACGTAGATGTTTTCACAGGTGAACCGAAAGAGATGGGAGCAGTTCCAAGCACTCCGCACGCTGCCTTTGGCAATGGACCCTGTTATTGTGAAGATGTGCTCTGTTAGGCAAACGTGAAGTTTAATATTAGATAAACCCTGGGTGAAAAAAAATCCTCATTTCCTTCACAAAACGTTAATTGTAAGCAAGAAAAAAAAAAGATGTGACATCTCACATGTATGCCACGTGTGGGGTTAGCATCACTAGTTAATAAGTCACAAAATATGGCAATTACCTTTTATAAAACGCAAGGAGGGATGTTCTCTTTTTTACATTGTGTTCCCAAGAAACAATGGAAGTTCGAAGGCAGAAAAGGTATTTCCTTTCTCACATATATTGGAGTCATTCTATTTTCTTTCTTCTTTATACATCTTGTTTTTTTTTGTCTTTATTTCTGTGTTTTGTTTTTTTTTTCTTACATCCAGCATATGAAATAAGATTCACAAGTGATGTACGTTGAAGAGTTTCTTTAAGAATGGGGAGTATTATTGTGGCAGATTTTAGCAGAAGAAAACTAGTCCTGAAGATATATTTATCCTTGCCTAATTCAATTTATTGATTTCTAAAATGTAACATGTCTTTCTTTTGCAGTGAGTTCAACTTGATAATTTAAGTAATCAGAAGGGCATCATGGAAATTTTTTAATAGTCTCATACTTACATTAAAAAACCCAAAAGATACAATCTTCAATAGTGATTTTACTAATAAAAAATGCATATTATGCTAAATAAGCAGACTTGTAGTACGAGTATTTGTGCAGTGATTTCAATGTGAAATTGGCCATTTATGTTGGCAAGATGCTGATAGGGCTGTTCTCATTTCATTTCACATTTGACAAAAATATTTTAAAATTTGGTAACAAAGGGTATGTTTTAAATATTTGCCTTTACTTGAGTGCTCTTTTCATAGCCTTAAAATCACAATAATTTTAATGCAGAAATGGAATTTTGCATCCCAATTTCACCCAGCCTCAAAATTAAATCCTATTTCTTAAGTACAGCTCACTTCCATCTTCTTTTGTAATGTGAATCTGACTGCCCAAAATCTAATCAATTGGTTGTCAGAGGCTGTGTACTTATAATCTACTGTTTCTTCTGACGATAAACAGTATCATTTTAGGCATTTGTGAAAGAGAATCATATTACTGGTGCTTAAGCAGTTTTGGCTTTTTTTTTTTTTTTTTAATCTTAATCCATCTTAAACCAGTGGAGCAGAAATATTTAAAAATGTTTCATTTCAAGCAGAGTGCATAATAAATTTCAATAATTGTAATGTGCCATAAATCCCAGAGCCTATGCATTTTGTATTTGATTCAGGATTGAGGTCAGGAAATTTGGAGAAATTTAAAGAAAATGATTCATCAGTCCTTTTGTTCTGTTGGCCAGGGTCCCGGGATTCTTGAGCTGGGCCCAGCTGACGAGCTTTTGAAGATGGCACAATAACTGCCCAGTGATGCCTGACCATGACAGCACAGCCCTCTTAAGCCGGCAGACCAAGAGGAGAAGAGTTGACATTGGAGTGAAAAGGACGGTAGGGACAGCATCTGCATTTTTTGCTAAGGCAAGAGCCACGTTTTTTAGTGCCATGAATCCCCAAGGTTCCGAGCAGGATGTTGAGTATTCGGTGGTGCAGCATGCAGATGGGGAGAAGTCAAATGTGCTCCGCAAGCTGCTGAAGAGGGCGAACTCGTATGAAGATGCCATGATGCCTTTTCCAGGAGCAACCATAATTTCCCAGCTGTTGAAAAATAACATGAACAAAAATGGTGGCACGGAGCCCAGTTTCCAAGCCAGCGGTCTCTCCAGCACGGGCTCCGAAGTACATCAGGAGGATATATGCAGCAACTCTTCAAGAGACAGCCCCCCAGAGTGTCTTTCCCCCTTTGGCAGGCCTACTATGAGCCAGTTTGATATGGATCGCTTGTGTGACGAGCACCTGAGAGCAAAGCGCGCCCGGGTGGAGAATATCATCCGGGGGATGAGCCATTCCCCCAGCGTGGCGTTAAGGGGCAATGAAAATGAAAGAGAGATGGCCCCGCAGTCTGTGAGTCCCCGGGAAAGTTACCGGGAAAACAAACGCAAGCAAAAGCTGCCCCAGCAGCAGCAGCAGAGTTTCCAGCAGCTGGTTTCAGCCCGAAAGGAACAGAAGCGAGAGGAGCGCCGACAGCTGAAACAGCAGCTGGAGGACATGCAGAAACAGCTGCGCCAGCTGCAGGAAAAGTTCTACCAAATCTATGACAGCACTGATTCTGAAAATGATGAAGATGGTAACCTGTCTGAAGACAGCATGCGCTCGGAGATGCTGGATGCCCGGGCCCAGGACTCCGTAGGGAGGTCAGATAACGAGATGTGCGAGCTAGACCCGGGACAGTTCATTGACCGAGCCCGGGCCCTGATCAGGGAGCAGGAGATGGCTGAGAACAAGCCCAAGCGAGAAGGCAGCAACAAAGAGAGAGACCACGGGCCAAACTCCTTACAACCGGAAGGCAAACATTTGGCCGAGACCTTGAAACAGGAGCTGAACTCTGCCATGTCGCAAGTGGTGGACACGGTGGTCAAAGTCTTTTCGGCCAAGCCCTCCCGCCAGGTTCCTCAGGTCTTCCCCCCTCTCCAGATCCCCCAGGCCCGGTTCGCAGTCAATGGGGAAAACCACAATTTCCACACCGCCAACCAGCGCCTGCAGTGCTTTGGCGACGTCATCATTCCGAACCCCCTGGACACTTTCGGCAACGTGCAAATGCCCAGCTCCACAGACCAGACGGAAGCACTGCCCCTGGTGGTCCGCAAGAACTCCTCTGACCAGTCTGCCTCCGGCCCCCCCGCCGGCGGCCACCACCAGCCCCTGCACCAGTCACCTCTCTCTGCCACGGCGGGCTTCACCACCTCCACCTTCCGCCACCCTTTCCCCCTACCCTTGATGGCCTACCCGTTTCAGGGTCCATTAGGTGCTCCCTCTGGCTCCTTCTCGGGGAAAGACAGAGTGTCTCCCGAGTCCTTGGACTTAACCAGGGAGACGACGAGTCTGAGGACCAAGATGTCATCCCACCACCTGAGCCACCACCCTTGTTCACCAGCACACCCACCCAGCACCGCGGAGGGACTCTCCTTGTCCCTCATCAAGTCTGAGTGTGGCGACCTGCAAGACATGTCTGAGATCTCACCTTATTCAGGAAGTGCAATATCCTTTTATTTTCCCCTCAAGGAAAACCAAACAAAATAAAGGCTTCGCAACGGGCGGGTCAGGTGTGCAGCACATGTAGAATACTGTAGGTTAGCACCTTCTGAAGAATTCATTCATTCCTGTTACTCAAAGTAAGTTTTGGCAACAGGCCTGTGGCACTTCTGATGGCACAAAACCTCCCCAACTAAACCAACACCTTTGCAATTTTTACAAGTTGTGAACTATCCCCAAAGAGCTGGTATTTAATATATGCTTTATCAGCAGTGTTTTTCTGCTGTTCTTCCTGTATTCTCTTCTTACCCTTTTATTTTTTTTAAATAAAATTTATTTATTGATTGATTGATTTAGATATTTTTATTGATTTCAGAAAGGAAGGAAGAGATAGAAACAGTAATGATGAGAGAGAAGCATCAATCAGCTACCTCCTACACACCCCACACTGGGCATGTGCCCTGACTGGGAATTGAACCATGACCTTCTGGTTCATAGGTCAATGCTCAACCACTGAACCAGGCCTGCTGGGCTTAAATATATATATATTTTTTTATTTCAGAGAGGAAGGCAGAGGGGAGGGAGAGAGAGAAGCATCAATGATTGGCTGCCTCATGCATGCCCCCTACTGGGGATCAAGCCCACAACCCTAGCATGTGCCCTTGATCGGAATCGAACCCGGGACCCTGTAGTCCGCAGGCCCATGCTCTATCCACTGAGCCAAACCAGCTGGGGCTACCTTTTTTTTTTTTTTTTTTTTTTGAGTAAAATCAGAGATAGAAAGAAATCTCATTGTAATATTGATTACAGATATATAATTTTTAAGAAATTATCAGATATATAATTTTTAAGAAATTATCAGATATATAATTTTTAAGAAATGGAAAGTTTTAGAATGGAGTGAAAAGTCAGTGTCGGATGCCATAAGAAGAATTCTCCCTTTAAGCCCTGAACAGGTTCCTGGGCTGTTTAAAGAAGGCTTGATCCAGCCTGGTGAAGAGGACTGTGCTGGTGGGAGAGAGAGGGGTGTGGGGGGGAGGTGGACTCTCCCTTTAATCCTGGAGCGAGACGCAGTTTTTTAAAGGAAACGCACAGGTACTGATTTATTCAGGCCGCATCGGCCTCTCGTTCACCAAGGTCTGTTCTTTGGGGCTGGTGCAGCTGCCTTCCATGCATGATTAACCTCTGTTCAGCCATACACTGAAATCTTTTGTCCTAACATACACAAAGCAAATTATTTTGGAAAGCAAGAGAGTACAATTAAATATAAAACTCAAGCTGTATTCGACTTAAAAAATGGCTCTTTTTATGACTCTTTTATATTTTGAACCTGACTTTGATGTAGAGATGCCAGTTACATAGTTTATTGGATCTGTCCTGCACTCTGGCTATTTTTAATTGATGATTTTTCCCCCCCTTCTATAAATTGGTCCTTGCAGTAAATTCTTAAGAATCTTGTTGGTCATTGATGTTCTGGGTCGTAGACTAGTCGCTTTGGGGAGGGAGGGCAGGTAGAGAGGCATGTTTCTTTTATAATAAATTGCCATATGGATATAACATTTAGCAATTAAGTTGGCTGTTGCTAAATTAAGGATTTTGAGCAATCATCTTGATGACTAGAAATTGACATTTTAGTATGTAAACCCACTCAGGAGGCTGCCACTTGAGTGCAAAGTGCCAGCTCTGGTGGAAATAAATGTGTTTTCCCAGGAAGTGAAGGTGGTCCTTTCAGCCAAATCTTAGGATACTGGTAAAGATTTCTGATAAGGTGAATGGGAATCACTAGCAGGAGACCCGCTTGAGCAGCTAGCAGAATGTCTTTCTCTGGCAAAGAAGAGAATCATGTCATGAGAGAAAGCAAAAGAAAGATGTTGAGGGCCTAGCTTTATAAATAGAAACTGAGTGTTGGTTTGGTTTCAGATTTAACTTCTACCGCTCAAAGACCTAAAATCTAACCCATTGGTCATGCATCAGAGCTGTGCCAAGCACCATACATTACCTGTTATGAGCAGGCAATGAACAAGCAGAATGATTGGAATATAGCTATGTGTGATGAGATAGGCAAAGTAAGACATAAGGACTGGATTTTTTTTTATCCTTTGTAGGCTGAGCATCTTCCAAAGTTCATGTTCATACCAGACTACTGTCCAAAGCTCATCTCTTCAGAGAGCCTCTAGCACAGCGGTTGGCAAACTCATTAGTCAACAGAGCCACATATCAACAGTACAACGATTGAAATTTCTTTTGAGAGCCACATTTTTAAAACTTAAACTATATAGGTACATTATTATTAACTTAATTAAGGTACTCCTAAGCTGGCCTTTGCTAAAAACTCAAAGGACCAAAGAGCCACATGTGGCTCACGAGCAGCAGTTTGCAGACCACGGCTCTAGTTCATTTGAAGCCAATAGTAGTGATGATGGATTCTCTCTCTCTGTCTCTTGACACAAACACACACCATACCACACCACGGAAAAGGACATGCCTATTTTGGTGAATATTTGAAGCCAGGTTTCAAAGTCTTATAAGTCCATATTAAATTCTTTATCTCAAGATGCCTGCTTATGAAGTTGTTGTTTTTTTAAATTAGACTTTTCAATGTAACCAGATAATTTTCTGTGTTTTTTTTGTTGTTGTTGTTGTTGGATCTTCTAGGAAAAAATCTTTTTGATTACATAAAGTGGCCATGCTCATTGTCTCTGCCTTTCTAAATCTCCTGAGGAATTTTAAGGATTTGAATGGAAAGAAGTTCCTTTTATTTCTACACGTATCAAAGGCTTTAGAGAGAATATAGTTGCTTTTTCTTCAGATGAATAACTTCTCCTCTCTCCTCCCAAGATAAGGTTCTGTTAAACGGTGGTGGTTTGGAAACACCTGTGGTTCACATGCAATGTTAGTTTCTTGTACCTGGAGGTGTTTCTTCCATGTCGCTGAATAATTTGGACCACTTGTTTCAAGTAATGATTACATTTCCTACCTTCTAGCTCTCTACTCTCTGCCTCTTTCTCTTTCGCCTCTGCCACATCACACTTTTAACCATTTATCTCATTGATATATTATTTTCTTAGGAAGATGATAGGCAAGCAACCTTTTCTTTTCTTTTTAATATCATTTTTACTTATATCAGAGAGGAAGGGAGAGGGAGAGGTTGAGAGAGACAAACATCAATGATAAGAGAGAATAATTAATAGTTGTCTCCTGCATACTACCCCTTCTCTATTCCCCTCCCCTCAATGGGGATTTAGCCTACAACCTGGGCATGTGTCCTGGCTGGGAAATGAACCCTTAACCTCCTGGCTTATAGGTCAGTGCTCAACCACTGAGCAACACTGGCCAGGCAAACAACCTTTTCTATAAAGTCCACATAATTCTGAAGCCAGTGAGAATCTGCATGTTCCTTGGGAAACTGGACCGACTTTTCTGCTTGTTTCATCCTTGTATGGCAGTGAGTTCTTCCTTTGTGTGTAGGCAAAATTCTCAAGCATTTAGTTTAAAGAAATCTCTAGGAACCACATTGAATGGTGACTTACTTCAGTTTTAGCGATGGGAGCACATATTTGAACCTGTAGTTACTCGTGTTGAAAAGGTCAGTGGAAATGAGATGAAATGGTACCACTATAATCGTCGTTATGTTTTTATTTTTAGTTCCCGAGTTTCCGAGTTGTGATGAATAATTTAATTCTTAAGGAACAATTCTTTCCCACTCCGGAGGGCATCATCTGTTTCTCTGAACAAAAGTAGCCAAGACAAGAACTACCGAGAGCACCAGCTTACCAGAGAAATCCACTTAAGTTCAGCACATTAGGCATCTGTGTTCTAGAAGGGAGAACAGTACCTTGCTCTCCCTTTTAACAGAAAGGAAACGGTGAACGTGTGCATGTTCCACTGAATGTCAGTGCACCTGCTCACGTCTTGGGTATAAAAAAAATGTGTCCAGTATCTTTGCAAATGAATCTATTTAATCAAATATTAAGTTCTATTCAAATCCCCAAAGAAACAGCCAGCCAATTGTTTTCCTCCGTGATGTTCCTTGTCATTCGTCCTCTTTGCATCTCAAGAGAAACAGCCTTGTGTAGGCCTCAAACATTTGCATGCACCCAGTTAAAGCCCTAAGGATCCTAAGCCTTTAAGACGTGCAGGTGAAGACACACCCGTTCTCTGTGCGGGCCAGCTGTCCCTACTGGGCTTTGAGGAAGGATGTTAACAATACTTGAAGGAGTTTCAAAAGGAACGTTGTTTAATAGCTTGAAATTAAAGTCTAACCAGAATAAGTGAGTTAAAAATGAATTTCTAAGATGTGAAATAATCCATAGAAGTTGATCTTTTACATTTTTTTGAAGCTTCTGGGGGCCATAGTAGTTATTTTCTATATAGGGAAACGTATATTCAAGACTAAAAGATTCTGGGTTCCTGTCCATCTTTTCCATTGTGAACTAAAATTTAAAAAATATTCACCCCCCGGTTATGGTGAGCTTAGAGAAGCAACAACTTCATTGCTCTATCACTGTCACGAAATGAGATCGTTTAGATCTGTGCTCCCCGGTTTTAGATTTCCCGGGGGCAAGGGTCTTAGAAATATAGCAAGTCAGAGGCAGAAGGAGAAAGCTGAAATTCTCTGGGACCCAAAAGGGTTCAGAAAAACATAGGTAAGCAGTCCCCCTTCGCGTGGCTGGAGATGCAGCTGGTAAAATCTCCAGCCAGAATTCAGAATGCAAACTGGGAAAAAGAGGATTTTTCTTCCTCTTGCCTCCACAACCCATTATTCTCCCATTTGCCTTTTTGCTGCCTCCGCTGCTCCTCCTGCTGCTGCTGCTGCGTGTAGGTAAGGTTATATTGTGCTTGGTAAACAGACAACACGCATTCTCAGGTTGTTTGAACACCGCTTTAGATTCAGCTGTAGCACTCTACTTCTCTGATCTTTTATATTCCCCAGCAGATGTCTTTCATTAATTTATGGATTTATCATCTTTTCTCCCCCCCCCCTTTTCCTTTTCTTTCTTTCTTGCTTTTTTTTTTTCTTTTTTTTTTTTTTTTTACACCTGGCAGCTGTCTCAAGTTTCAGCAGTTATTGTCTATTTTGCATTACACATAGAATTGAATGTCATCTGTCTTCACAAAGCTATGGCTAAGAGAATTGAGGCAAAGCCACATGAGCTGCCTGGACAGATCTTGTTTGCGTTCCATCCCCCCACCCACCCACCCACCCACCCACACCCCCTCCCTTTACCTCCTTAATATTTATTTGTGCTCATTTTCTTTCCTGGCCTTGAATGGAGCTTAGCTCGTGTTCAGTACAGCTGTATGTTTACTGAATCTATTCCATCATGAGTCATTGTGCGTGTGTAAGTATCCTGGAAACAGCTAGTGCTTTCTTGGAAGAACAGTTGCTTTTCAGCACAAGCACTTAAAAGGGAAATTAACCAATTGGTCAGTTCAGATTTATTTTGAGGAGGAAAAAAAAAAAAAGGATTATCTAACTGTTGGCTTTTAAAGGTTTCATTAGCTATTTTTAATAGTTGATTAGAAACATCTATTTTATGGGAATTTTATCTCAATTACACGGCGGGCGAAGGAGCAAGATTTATCCTGTGTTCCCTTGCAACCGATCAATTCCAAGTATTACCAACAGGAAGCGTTTCAAAGCAAAAACAGACTTGAGAAATCAAATCAGAATAAAAAATTTTTTCCGTGAAATAAAAGCTTCAGCGTCCCCATTAAAAATAAGATGGAAGCTGGCTTTGCCTTTTAAAATAAAAAAGAACGAGACCATCTCTTAGCAAAAACATAAATGCGTGGAAAGCTTCGGGAAGTTTCCGTGGTACTCTTAACCATCTGAGAACCACAGCAAAAAGCAATTTGTTCTGTAGGAGGCCACGCTGTGAAAGATTTGGGACTTTTCCCCCTACAAAGAGTTAAATGTGCGAGATTGTTTTAATGTAACCCTCAAAAAAAAAAAAAAAAAAAAAAGATTAGAACCCAGATCTGAGAATGTTTGTGGAAGTTTGGACTCGCCTAAAACTCTTATCGTGAGGCAATAGGAGACAGCTTGCAACTATTATTTCACTTATCCATCTGGACAGATGGCCCTGAAGTAGGCTGTGCTCCTTTCGTCGTCTCTATCTGTCTAATGGAGGTTACTGGAGGGCCTTTCAGCCCTCTCCTTGGCACAAAAAGTATGTCAGTCATAAATTATCGTCTTTGTGATCATTAAGGATCTCAAACAAAAACACAAGTTCAGTTAAGCTGCTTTGGCTTACAGATCTGAAAAATCAAAATTTCTTGCCTTGGTGTTTATTTTCAGTGCGGAGGGGGAAAAAAATAAAAATAAAGCCCAATATTGAACTCTTCTGTTTACTCACCAAGGTGATCTTTCGCACAATTTGCATGATATTAAAAGGAGATGCTAATCACCTTCTCAGCAGAGTATTTGGCTAAAAACACCCTGTTAGAAAGTAGTCAAGAGCTTATCAATATTAATTTGATTCTGCTTCTGTAGTAACTCGCTGGGTTCCCCGTGTTCTGAACGATGGCTCGCGCTGTACTCGGTGGAGGTCATTTGGAAACCTTTCCTAAATATCTGTGTGTATTTGACCTTTTTTTTTTGCATAAGGTGTGAAATTTCTGTTGGGTAGAAAAACTCACTCTCTCTCTCTCTCTCTCTCTCTCTCTCTCTCTCTCTCTGTCTCTCTCTGTCTCAAACACACAAGCGCGCGCGCACACACACACACACACACACACACGCACACACGCGCGCACACACATTTTTTCTTTTTTCCTAATTTTTCCCAGACTCTCTTTTAAGAGAAAAATCCTTAGAGAAGCTTCTAGGAAGGACCCTTAATTGACCTTGTGGGGGACCACATTGATTTTCTCCACGTGCAATCTTCATTTCTGATAAATTATAAAGCCATTAATTTGCTGAGGAAATGGCAGGGCCAGGCTGCAGCACAGATGTGACCAGGGCCGCCCCAGCTCCGAGCGTGCGGAGGAGTGCCAAGAATCCGGGCGAGAATCAGGAAGCCTGGATTGTTATGGTTAGCCTCACATTCTCTCGGGAACTGTTTTAGTTGCTGCTGTTTACAGATCTAAAAGGTAATGATGTTTCCAGATAAATAGGCCTTCTTATTTGGGGTAAGTGGCCATTTATTGATCTGCTAACCCATGGCTATTGATTTGTTAGCCTCAACCACTGCGCTCCTCTCCAAGGAGTTAACTATAAATCCGGGAGAGGCAAATTGTACTTGGTCTTGGATCGTTGCTTTAACAAAAGCGACACTCCTCCCTCCCCCCACCCCCCAAAAACCCGGCCCTGTTCTCTCTGTGCCAAAAGGACCCTTTCCCAAATTTAGCTATTATTTAAAAGAGAACAATTAAAAGGATACAATAATAAGATAGGAAGAAAGTGAGTCAATACGCTCCGTTACATTAGCGCTGAAAGGCAAAATGCGAAGCTTGCACCGAAAGGTGAAATGCAAAGTGTTCAAAATAATGCCTTTTGTGTTTTCACGCACATTAGGATAATAATTTGATGTAAACTGCAGAGTGCGGAGAGAAGAATAAACAGAACCATAATTGTGAAGAAAAAGAAGAAGAAGAAAAAAACTCTCCTGATAAGAGTTGTGTAGCACGTGTTGGGTGCATTTGTCTCCTTAGCAACAAGTGAACGTATAGAGAGAGGGGCTCTGCTTTGCCATCCTCGCCACAAAGTGGCCAGGATTCTGCAACTGAATTGTGCATCCTCGCCGTGACATTTGGCAATCTGTGGCAGGCAGTGGGCATTTGGAGCAAGCGGCGGCAAGTCAGGGATGGATTCCACGGCTGCGTGGTGGGCCTCCAGACTCCCGGGAAGGGGGGGGGGGGGCTGGGAGGGGGAGGTGGCCTGGTCCCTGTGTTTAAAGCAATATTTTCCTTAACCAATTGCATCCTACATGCAGGAGGGATTGTCACCCAATCACTTGAAAAAAGCAAAGCTCATGTTCTTTTATACCCGTTATCCCAGCTCCAACATGCTGAAGACCTACTTCTCCGATGTAAAGGTAGGGATGTTTTGTTGTTATTCATTCCCCCCCCCCCTTCAATTTCTGTGCATGTTATCGCGATTTGAACTTTGGGGAGGTGATGGAGCTGAGTGTGGGATCAGTTCATGGATACACCTGTGTTGTACTGATTTCATGCACTCGTCCTTCTGTCTAAAGCTGGGCCATGCAAAGCCGCCCCCTGCGAATTGAGACCGCAGGGCCGGTCTTAATCAGTCCCGTGGTTTCCATGGTAGCCCGGGAAACTTCGCCTCTGTCTTTAGCCGTCTTAGTAACTTCTTGGGAGAAATTTCAGCTGGTACCGAATGGGTGTACTTCGGGGGATGCTTTTCCCCTCCCCTCAGCAACAGCCGACTGTTTCTGTTTTATTTTTGCGTGTGCTTTTGAAAGCAAACCCTAGCACCTCCTTTACCCCCCCTGCCGAAAAGGAGCGTACATTGAAATTCTGTATGCAGTAGCTGCTTAAAAACAAAAGTGATGATTGTCCCTTATTTACAACTTAATTTGTTGTTGATGTAGAGTACACTGAGCATAAGGAGAATGAATAAAGTGACAGATTCAGGACACATTATTCAAATGAGGATATGAAAGCTGTCGGGCCTACAGCTGCAGCCTCCCTCATTCTACAGAATATGGGGACCTCCTGGTTCTGTGCGTGCGTGCATGTGTGGGGGGAGGGGGGGGAGGGTGTTTAAGTAATTGTTTGCATCAACTTGATGTTGTGTTAATCATCTGTAACTTTTTAAAACATAGATTGGGTTTTGATGATGATAATGGCACGCATGGTATCATTATCCAAGGGTCTTGCTAAACATTACATTAGCCGAGATTAGTTTATTAGGGATGGGTGCCTCTCCCCCACCCTCCCCTCCCCACCCCCATATGTACACGTTCTTATGTCTGCCATGGAGAGAATTCTCCAGCAGCCAAAATCTGCTCATTCCTCCACACGCCCCGCTCTGCAGAGTGTTTTGTGCCCGGTGCCCGCGTTGCTTCCTTGGCCCTCTTTTGCAGGCCAACGCATTTCGGTTTCCTTCACTGATGTTTTCTTTGGCCTTATAAGAAAAGTTCTGTTTTCCCTCCTGTTTGCTTTGAGTTGTGTATCAACTTCAGGCTTTTATCTTTCTCCTTCCCTGGCCGAGCTCCTTAAGTGGAAGGCATGTTTCTCCTCCGTCCGTGCCAACAAGCCGGGCAGGATGGGGAAGGCAGAGAAAGGCAGTAAATAGGAATTACTTCCATGGCTGGATAGGAATCAACCAGCACACAAAAAGAGGCTGAGTGGCACAGGAGGCCAAAAAGCAGCAGCGATTTGCTGATGACTTAACGGGGACTTTGTGGAAACCATCTAAACAGACAGGTGAAAGGGAACTTATCAGCTGGTGGAGGACCAGCCAGCTTCTAGAGCCTAGTGGAACCTGGCAGAGTTCTTCCAGAGAATCATCCCAACACTTTGGTTCTAGAAGGGCAGAGATTGAAGTGTTACTGTGGACCCATGCATGTGTGTGTGTAGGCGTGTGTCCATGTGACCTCCTTCACTGCTCTTAGCACGATGATTTGCAGTTTTGTGATATAATCATGATATTACTGTATATTATTTATTTATATAGTATCAAAAGGAGGCCAAGTAGCTTTAGAAACTGCGTGCATAGGGAGCCCTCACCTACCAGACACCCAAGGGTGGGAAGCAGCAGCCAGTCTGAGCCAGCAACTCTATCCAACAGTAGATGTAAATATTAGGAACATTCAAGTTTGTGTGTGTGTGGTAGTGGTGGTGGTGGTGGGGGACGTGTAGTGGGGAAAGGGAAAGGGTGCTGGAGATTGTGGATCTGTAACTTTATAAATACTGTGTAATGTAAGCCCACAAGAAATCATTCCCATTCCTTTAGAACACATCCAGTAATTCAGCTTTCAAATAATCACTTACTCTGTGTAAATAACAACAAAATATCGGGTCAATGTTTTATTAAAAAATACTAATCTTCAGATTATAGATTCCTACCCATATTCTAACCATATGGGGAGAGAGGCTCATAGGTATACAGGAGTCTGATTAATTCTTCTAATGGAGGGAAGCAGGGTATATCATGCAAAGCAGGAAATTACCGAAGGTCATTGCTACATTATTTTAATATATATATATATATATATATATATATATATATATATATATATTTCATTGATTTTCCACAGAGAGGAAGGGAGAGGGATAGAGAGCTAGAAACATCGATGAGAGAGAAACATCGACCAGCTGCCTCCTGCACAGCCCCTACTGGGGATGTACCCTCAACCAAAGGACATGCCCTTGACCGGAATCGAACCTGGGATCTTTCAGTCCACAGACCAACGTTCTACCAACTGAGCCAAACCAGTTTCAGTGCTACATTATTTTAATGAAGCATACATTTTTCACTTCACTAATTATGTTGGATTTTATTTTATTTTATTTTATTTTATTTTATTTTATTTTATTGCTAGCAATAAATGAATTTGTCTTCCCTGCGCTTACACTATTGACAACAGAAAGTTGTGTATAGAAAGGGAAAGGTAGTCCAGCCAAGGTGAGCCAGAAATTTCATAGAAAACAATGGCAGAGCCTTCCTGCGTTTCTTCCATGTAAGCGAAATACAGAATTTGAATGTTGACAATGTGGATATCAATTTGCAAGGCTAAAGTCACTAGCTATTTCTCTCTCTCTAAATATACAATCCAAAATCTGATATCAGTCTGGATTTAAGAAATCACTACGGAACTGAGAGATCGCTAGGCATGGGGGAAAGGACCTTAACATTTTATAAGAAATAAAACCTACATCAGCTACCTCCAGAAAGATCTCTTCAGGTGTCTATGGAGCAAGTGACACAAAGGCACAAGATACTTCATGATGGCCACATTCACCTAACAGAAAACTCCTAACTCTAGGAGATGTCCCTTTACAAAGAATAAAGTCATTTCATCTCAGACAGTCATCAGAAGTTGGTTTTGTGAGTAAGACCCAGGAGAAACAACACGAGCAGAAACTATTTTGTTTCATGAATAAGGTGGAGCCCAGGAATCATCAAAGACACAGTTGAATGAGGGCCCTAGGCTGCATTATTCCCCAGACCAGCTCCAGGCCCAGGCAGGGTGACACACCCTCCTTTGTAAGGTCCCTTAGGGATGGGTACAGCGAGCGGCTCTCCACAAGTGACTTCCCTCTGGGTAGGAGGGGGATGCTTTAAAAAAAAAAAAAAATATATATATATATATATATATATATATATATAATTGATTTTTTTCAGAGAGGAAGGGAGAAGGATAGAGAGCTAGAAACATCGATGAGAGAGAAACATTGACCAGCTGCTTCTCGCACATCCCCAGTAGGTACATGCCCTTGATTGGAATCAAACCTGGGACCTTTCGGTCTGCAGACTGACGCTCTATCCACTGAGCCAAACCGGTTTCGGCAGGAGGGGGATGCTTTTAAATTGCCTTGGAAAGGAAGAGGAAGGGGGCAATCCCATACAATTCGGAGACCATTGGTTTGGTGAGAGAAGTCCTCCAGGGATGATGTGTTCGAAGGATGAAAGATGAAACCAGGGCCCACTTAGTTTAACACCTAGAGCAAGAATCGAAACAGTTCTATGTTCTCACAAAGAGTCCCACTAAATTCCCTCACCATGGCAATTAGCCAGACAACCAGCTCAGCTCACTGGGGCTTCGGATCCTTTGAGAAGGGCAAGGGGGTGAACGTGAGAGAGACACCAAGGGCCGGGTGGGTGCTGATTTTAATGTATAAACTAATAACTCTTAGACCACTAAGTACAACAGATTTGGTGTCATTTTAGCTTTGAAGAACAGACACTCACAGCTTTTCAAGCCGCAGTGTTAAATGATGTATCTCCTTCCCTCCACCCCTTGAGTCAACTGCTGCCTAGCCAGATTAAGGTGTCAGATTGATTTGTTTTATACATCTTTTGACCATGCTCATTGAATATTTAGGAAGTTTCTTCAGCCCATATTGAGGCTGAGATGTCCCGTGGGAAGCATTAATCAAAGTCACAGGGACGCGTACACTGTGGAAACACAGCCCCTTTATTGTAGCGATTAGTTTTTGCAATAATACATTAACACACTACAGAGCTTTCCTTTGGAGAACAATTGATCCTTTTTCCTGTCGGCCACCACAGCATGGGGGACATTCGTTCTTTAAAGTTTAACACTTTTTCTCTCCCAAATTGAATATCTGGAGAAGGGAGCCTGCGTTGGCCTTTAGTCAGCCACCAGAAACCACACAAATTTCAGTTCGCTTCTAGCGGAGGGAAACCCAGTTCTTCAAGCTGCTGTGCCGGTCATTTCACTTGTCTCGTGTTTGGGGAGTCTGTTGTTTTTGCCCATTCTCTCTCTCTGTTATTTCCATTCTCGAACAATAAGCCTTAAATCTCCCTTTATGTCCCATTCCTAAATAATGGCAAGTGCACTTACTTTTTTGTCCTCCCCATTAGGTCATTCATGTCCATTCTAGAAAGAAAAAAAAAAAATGCCCTTCTATTTTTTTTTCCTCTACAGTACTCTTGTCCATATGAGACAATGTCTTGTAACAATGCAGAAGCCTAATCTCCATGTCAAAGCAATTTTCATTCCCCAGTGCACAGCCTGCTATCATTTTGTAATGTTTTGTTTCTTATTCTAAAAGAATTAAAAAGGAACAGTAAGCCGTCACGGGGGCCTGTAGTCCTTATCTCAGTGTCTGGAAATTTGGACAGTGTATTTTACTGCTGAGATAAAATGGAAAGAACTCCAAGTTCAGCAAATCGTAATGGGTTTAAGTTCTATTGAAATCGGCGACCAGAAGATCAGATAACGGGGGTCCTTCAGTTGTCTTTTTAATCGGGTTCCCCACAAGGCTGAATAGAGACAGAGCAGACCCACAGAGTGAAAATATAATTCTTGGATAGGTTAAGTACATGTTTGAACTCTTGCAAGCAGAAGCGATTTGCTGATGACTTAATCATTTTCTGGTCAATTATCTGTGAGGGCCCTTGCAACTCCATGGCAATTATGATGCAAGTTGGCCTTTTGGGAGAAACAGCAGTCTCCCTGCTTCTGTTTCCTTGTTACTGCCATTCCCTGCCATATATTTCATTCATTTATTATCTCTGCTAGGACGGGAACAACTTTCTGTGTAGTAATTACAGCCCCAGTACACACTTTAACTGTCATCTTCTTGGGAGTCTGGATGTTCTCATGGCCAGCATTTGATAAGTGGTCTTTGTTGATTTTTGATGAATGTGTATCTTTTTCTGGGGGCCCCGGGGAAGGGGGTGCCTGTGATGACAAAAGGCAGGGTTGCCTGTCAGCCCGCCCGATAGAAAGCTATGGATTTATGGGCTTTGACTTGGCAAGTTGAGAGGCAGCTGTCCTTTACGTGAACAGAGGGCTGTCAGTGAGAATGGTGTCATCTGTCGTGAAGCCAGGAAGACATCTTCATTGAAAAGGTCACGGAGAAACCTTGGTAAACAAAGTTTTAAAGCTGAATCATGTTATGGTAACTTGGCTTTTCAAACAGTGTAATAAAGATCCTGTCTGTGCCATCTGTTGTACCTGCTCTTAACCACACCTTCCAGATAGCATGGCCTCCATTGGAAGGGGTATTTCTTCCCCAATGCTGGCTGTAGGGAGTGTATGAACAGGTATGATGGTTTCACCAGATGGCACCAGACACGAGTACCACATGGAAACAATAAGTGGAATCACTGGAGGATGGTCATGGGGGTCACCCACTCCCTAAATATCAAGCAAATGGCAGCCTCCTCCTACTTTGTGTGAAAGCCATTTCCCAGCATTGAACGAGACTGTTTGTGATGACACAATCTCTCATTAAAAAAAAAAAAAAAAAAATCAAGCTAATGGCGGAGTCTTTGGCTCATCATCTCTGGTACTTGAAAGTAATAACGCTTCCCGGGGTTCCATGTCTTGAATGAATTTCCATAAGAAATATACAAATGCAAGTTGTTTTCCTGAAAGGTGGACAGTGTTTAAAGGAAGCTATTTTGCTTCCAGAAAAATCAGATTGAGAGTGTGGATTTCTAAAATTTGAAATGGGGAGGGTCCTGATGTGATTTACATTGTTCGTAGGTTTTATAATATCCTGTGAGTACATCTTTGCCGAGCCTCTCTTGCCATCCTTTCCGTAGAATTAAACACATTCCAAGTAAGGGGAGCGGGGGAGGGGAACTTAAAAAATGCTTTGAATGCTTGAAGAATCAATGAAGAAAGTGGCAGAGTTCTTATCCCTTTTAATATTTAAATTTAACAGTTCAACAGATGCATCACCTCTCAGCTCATCAAGTGGTTTAGCAATTTCCGTGAGTTTTACTACATTCAGATGGAGAAGTACGCGCGTCAGGCCATCAACGATGGAGTCACCAGCACTGAAGAGCTGTCTATAACCAGAGACTGTGAGCTATACAGGGCTCTGAACATGCACTACAATAAAGCAAATGACTTTGAGGTAGGAACTCTTCTTTATCTTTTGGTTTTATTATTATTTTTTTTTAGTGTATTTTCTTCAGAAATATCCCTCAATGTGGTTTTTGTATTGGTATTTCATGGAAACACCCCCCAGTGGGTAGTGAGGAGCACTCCCCCCACTCGTGGTTCCCATCAAAGTCCTGGGGACCTGACCCACTTCTATTTCCTTTCCCACGGCCGGCTCTGCTGCTTCCCATTGGACCATAGGAACAGGGAACTGGAGAATCCAAAGAAAATGGCAGCGAGAAACACACAGTGTGGTCCCCTCTCAGAGAAGCGGTCCCTGTCCCACGTAGGCCTTTTCCACACTGAGGTCTGGCAGGGCAACTGAGCTGAAAATAGGAGATATGCAATGAATGGCAATAGCAAAAGTTGTTGTTTAAGGAAGTCTAGAAATGCCGATTTGGGAGAGATTCCATGGTTTCTAACTTTAATCAGCATTTATTTCCTTTATGGAAGAAATGGTATGAGAGTTTACTAAGTGCATATTCTAAGATATCCATCAACATCTTTTTTTTGGTTTGTTTTGCTTCTATGTCTGTTATTTAGGGAGGAGGAGTGTGTGTATTTTGCATATGGGTCACTTCACAAGCATGTCGCTCTGTGTTCATACTCTATTATACACACGTATGTATATACAACAGACATATTATAGAGACACACAAAGCAGTATACACAATTCCCAGAAAGCAAACTCTATGCAACAATAAAATGTATGTGGCTCTGAGTAAGGCTTTTCTTTACTGGCTAACGTGGTGTCTCAGCAAACTTTTTCATTGCAACACGATGACTATGAGAAAACACTAACCACTCTCCCAGGACTCACAAAAGCGTTTTTGCTGAGCCCTGCTGGCTGGGGCAACAATCCCCAGAAGTGGGAATGTGGGAGAGTTCCTCAGGCCCCACCCCCTGATGTGAGAGTAGATAGGCCATGACTTGACCGAGAGGTCTCTGCCCCAGTAGGCCTTTCCCACATTTAGGTCTGGCATGTCAATTGAGCTGAAAATATGTGATGTGCAATGAATGTCAATAGCAAAAGTTGTTTTCCTGAAAGATGGCCACTCCTCTTCTTTTATCATCTCAAGGATAGGCTGTGAGTGTTTCCTCCCTCACCTGCTCGTGCAGGGATCTTAAGTTAGTCATCTTGCTTTCCTCACATCGCTGGCCACTACCCAGAAATGCCCAGGAAGGTCTCAACGTCAAAGGAGAGAGGGGGAGAGGGGGCACCTTGGTCTGGCCTTGCCAGTAAAGGGACCTGACTGCCACTGCCCACACTCCATTTCTTTTTTGGGCTCTTCTCCCTCCTTTCTCCCCCCCCACCCTCCCTATTCTAAGCAGCTCGATTATGGCGGCTTAGAAAGAACTGACTGGGGAAGCGTTGAGGCGATGAAGTCATGGTTTTTACCTTGGAAATCTGCATGCTTATACGACAAGCCGCCAATGTATCTTTGCTTTCCAAAACCCATGGAGCTTGCTTGCCACAGGTGCTATAAACAACACTGTTCCTTGGGCTGAACACATTAAAGGTGAGGGTTCTTGTCCTGCTCCCCAACTTCTAAGTCTGTCATCACAGGGCACTGGTTTATGTATCCACAGAGCACCAACAGATTCCTCCTAAAGCTAAATGTTTTTTTTTTTTTTTAAATCTCAAGAACTTCATTTATACTCCTCCCACCACCACCCCTTTCTGCAAGTCCATTGCCCTAATCTTTAAGCTATGAGAATTTGACTGTGTGCTAATGAACTCTTTATAGTTTATTAGGGCAAATATTCACTTAGTGGCATGCAGCAAGCTTCAAACAAGAATCGCCCAAACATTCCTGGGAGAGTTCTGCATTTCAGTTGTGTAACACACTCGAGAGACCAAATCCTGACAGCACACATTAGGATTTTTTGTGCTGTCTAAGCCTTACCTGGTTAGGATTTAATCCCCTGCTCGCAGCACAAAGACCAACATGACACAAACAGGGGACGGCTGGCATGAAGAGATACCCAACAAGCTGCTCCATTTAGCATCATCTAAATCCCCCTTTAATATGATTAACATCTGATATTCCTCTCTTTCTGAATCATATCCACTTCCAGCCAGGCCACCTCTCCTTTATCTGCAGTGTCTATTTTAAGACTGCTTCAGGGCAAGGAGTATGGGGCCCGGGGAGTCATTTTGTCACTTCCCATGTGACTTCGGACAAGTTATCCGTCTATTTTGGGTCTTATTCTTCCTTCAGTAAAATTAGGCTCTTTCTGGAAATGTGGTGACAAGGTAGCAGGAGTCTGGATCCCGCCCTGCCCCCTCCGCTCACAGGCTCACAAATTCACATGTGGGTTCCCAACGTCACCCAACCGTTTTTCATTTCACCTCTCGGTTTTGGCACATGTGCTCGCAAAGGCTTCAGATAAGATGATCCTTTCCTTTCTGTGCCCGTGCGTGTGGAGGTCAGTGCTTAAGTGAGATGCTTAAGAAGCCACCGGTCTTATCACAGTAGCTTTAGCAGTGTGGGCCCCGGCTGGGAGCCAGAGGTGGGCCCAACACTGGGAGCCAAATACCTCAACGGAGAGGGTGTGCCCTGCGTGACTTTGGCATTGAAGTTTCCGCTCTTTGACTGAGTGGAAGGAGTCTGTAGTCTAATATGAATAAGAGAAGAGGGTGGCAAAGTGGAGAACTGTACACCTTGTTTCTTGATTTTTAAGCAAGCATGTAGAGGGACTCTGAGGTTGTGCCTGCATGATGCCCAAAGATCCTGTCCATTCGAAGGAATCTATTAACCCAACAGAGTACTAGCTGGTCCAGTAGTAAAACATTTTACTGTCTGCATTTTCAATTTCTCAGTCAGTTGTTGGGCAGCAATAATAATACAGCTAACGTTTATTGATGTCCACGATACTCTCCTAAGTGTTTTACCACTATTCTTTAATGTGAGCAGTAATGATAATAATACGGATCTTAAGAAAAACTTCAGTTTGCCTAAAGACCTGTACTGTTTTTAAAGTAATTCTAAATGGGAAGGGACAGGTAGAGGCAGGGGTAGAGAGGGGTCTGAGATGAGAGAAAATGAGGCTTATGTTTCCCCCCCTTCGCTAGACTTTCTGCTCCTTCATTCTGTTCTCCTTCTCTTGTCTTTTTTTTCCCCCCCTCAGCTTTCTGCTCCGTCTCTGCCTCTGTCACTCTTAGCACCACCCCCCTTCAGCCCCTGCTGCTGATGGCTCTCAGAGCAGATGGGGAAGGTTTATCACTAGCGAAGAGGGAGTGGCTTGAATCTCTCTCCCCTTCTAGACCCTGCCTTTCCTGGCCTTTATGAGTCAGGACCTTCTGAGTGACAGGAGAGTGGTTCTGCCTTTTGTATCAATTTACACAATTGCCGAGATTCTTGGCAGAGCATTCAGACTTAGAGTGGTGAGAGCTTGAGGAGACCCAGGGGTGTGGAAGGAGGCTCTGAAGGGGGAGGGGGGGTGGTGTGACAAGAACTATACTCTTGGTTTGTGCTAAAGCCCAGAGAGCCGGCCACGTGGTGTGGAGTGGGGCTCTCGCTCCGAACCTCCGCACGTGAGTTTGCTAAGGTGTGTGGAAAAGGGTCCGTTACACTTTGTCTTTTACAACTGCATCCTCCCCTCATACTTCTCACATTTAACGAGATTGGTGACAATAAATTTGTTTTTCTAGGTGTTATGGTATATATTTCCATGCTTCATTTTCACTTCATTTTGAAGAGTTTCCAAAAAAAAAATTTTTTTTTTTATGCGAAGGGAAAAGGGGGGTTTGGGATGCTGCCCCAGTTTTTAAATCATACTGACACATTTGACTTTAGGGCCATACGAGTTGGATTTTATTGCTTTTTTGTTGCTCTCGCCACTGTGGCAGGAAAGAAGGCAGTGATTGCTGTCAATTCCCAAGGCTGGTTTACAGGTTTGGGGAAAGAACTCAACGAAGCCACTGACCTGTGTAAGTCAGCAAGGTGAAGCACCCTAGCAAAGGGCCCAAAGGCCCACCTACCACCCCAGGCTGGTGCCATGACCTCAGCTCGCTGAGTGATGTGGTTCCGCTAAGTAAGGCAGAATGGCCCCAAGATTGGGAGGCTGGAGGTGGTCTTGTGTGCACGCTGGCCGACACCTTCATCCAGACAGATAATTCTGACTTTGGGGGCGTGTGAGTTGGATGTTTTTGCTTTTTTGTTCCCCTTTGCCCCGCCCTGTGGTCAGCCAGGCATCCCACGTAGGCCCATGTGGGCCTAGCTGTTTAGCTGCAGGCAGAGTCCAAATTCCCAGGGAGAGTGATGGTACGCCCTTGCCCAGATCTTTGGATGGAAAGCTTAAAAATTAATAGAATGGGAATTGGATTCATTGATTAGCCAGTGATTACATGCCATATCCTAAAATACTAACATCTCACTGGGCAGCTGACCCATCATCAAGCCTGGGATCCGGCTTTTTCCTGGAGTCACACAACAGGCTAGGAGAAGACTCCTGCAGACCTCTCTCTGTGCTTCTTCTTTTTTAAATATATATATTTTATTGATTTTTTCAGAGAGGAAGGGAGAGAGATAGTTAGAAACATCGATCAGCTGCCTCCTACACACCTCCTACTGAGGATGTGCCTGCATCCAAGGTGCCTGCCCTTGACCGGAATCAAACCTGGGACCTTTCAGTCCGCAGGCTGACGCTCTAGCCACTGTGCTTTCTGACTTCACTCTTAGAAAGAAAAAAGAAAGCAGAACTCCTTACATCCACCCCACTCCCCCACACACTCCCAAACACAGGCCCATCTGAATCCACACACGGGATGAATTCTCTCCACCATGCCTACCCCACCCCAACCCACCTCGCTCTCAACACGGCACATGTGGACAAACACTGCATGTATTTGGAGGTCTGTCATTCACGTCACCATCTCCTTAGAGGAAAAAAAATGAGGACAGGTGGATCTAGGAAGCGCTTCCCTCTGCCCCAAATAGCTATTTAAATATGAGGACCGTTTGGCGCACT